GAGCGAAAATCGATTTTTTGTGCGATTTGAAACATTTTTAAATTTTAGGACAAAATGGGACAAAGTCACGTGATTTCTGCCTTTAGGTGTCCCGAACTATAGTTTATCTGAATAACAATAGTAGTTTAGTATTGATATTAATTAGTATTATTTGTACAATTATATTTGTAATTTTACTTATCTTAATAAAATTCCGATTCTATTATATGTTAAGTATCGCTTCCCTATAAATAAAAGATCTCTTAATACTAAAAACCTGTTTCAAATAAAAGATTAAAAATAAATTTAATAATAGTTTTTATATCACATATAACATTATTTAATTAACTCATATATATATTTATTCCTAAATCTCTAATTTTGATAACTATCGTTCGTGGATCAGTGATATAAACTAAAAATATATCCACTTCAGTAGTTACAATTTGGTAACGATGGTGGGGTATTTCAAAAATCCCGAGCAAACCTATATTAAAATTAATCATCTTATTGATATTTATATCAATTAATCATCGAGCTTAAAATTAATTACCTCATAATTATTATCAATTAATTAAATTTATCACTATATTAATATTATTGTGAATAATTAATTGGATAACCCTAAAAGATATAAGAAACGAAAATAACGAAAATATGAATCAACACGTAGCTGCTATTACTTAGCAGGTTCAACAATTAATCCAAGCTATAGCATTAGCATCACAACCTCAAGCACAACAAAATCAACAAAGAGAATCAAATGTCGTACCATTATCCACCTTTTCAGGAGGAAATCAAGACCCTATCGAATGGCTTGAGTCTATCGGGCGTGCTTTTGAAGCTAACAATATCCAAGAACACAAAAGATTAGCCGTTATAGATGCATACTTAACTGGTATGGCTACAATTTGGTGGGATGGGAGGCGTAATATTCAACCTATAATTGTACATTGGGAAAATAATCAGCATCAAAATCAAAGTTTCATCTATGTATTTAAACGAAACTTTTACACACAGTCTCTAATAAGTCAATAGAGTAACGAATTAATTACTCGACGTCAAAAAGTTGGTAAAACCATAGATCAGTATACTGCTGAAATTCTCACACTTTTCAGACGAGTCTTCACAGGAGGGCATAATTATCCCGAACCCATGAAAGCTCAGTTATTTATTCAAGGGCTAAGACCTGATTTAGCCCTTGCTGTAGGCCCATTTATGCCTAATACCTTACAAGATGCCATTGAAAAAGCTAAAGTGTGTGAAATAACCTTTTCTAACACTTTAGTTAAAATTAACCTGTCTCCTATCGCATATTCTACTATGACATTTCTTCAACAACAAATAAGTGGTATAAATCAACTAGAAAAACCTATAACCAAAGGAGATGATAAAGAAACAATAGAAAAATTAACAGGCTTAATAGAACAAATTGTTATTTCATTAAAAAATAATAACTCCCGGGAAACCAATAATAGACTACGTGATTCCTATCAAAATAACGTAAATCGCACTAATCGAGGTTATCGACAATCTATAGTCTGTTATAACTGTCAACAGAATGGACATATCACTCAAGATTGTCCAAATCGGAGTAATTTTATTTAAAATCAGCCAAATAGAAATAACTATAATGATAATAATCGCCCAAATGAAGTCGGTGAAAGAAGGCCTAATGAGAACCAAAATATTAATAAAGTTAATAATAATAATCAAACTCAAACTATGTTAACTCAGATAATTGAAAATGTAGAGTCTTTAAACTAGATAACGCACCTTTAGAGGGTAAGAGTGTATTAAAGAATAAAAATCTTTCCGTTAATACAATAGAAACTTATATTAATAAGAGGCGTAAAGGTAATTCGTGTGAAACTATTGAAGCTAGAGATAACGAAGAAGCTAATGAAGAAGCCACTAATAAAGCTGAAAAACCTAGAAAATTAGTTAAAAAGAAAAAGAGTAAACCGGTTGAACCATTGGTAATATCCAATATTCAGTCTTACTCTATTTTATTTGATCTCCAAAGTAAAAAGGCTAATATTACTTATGCTCAATTATTCCAAACAGCCCCTAATATAAGAAAAGATATGTTAAGAATATTAAGACAGGGCCGGGTATCTACAACAAATTAGCTGAATTTCACCAAAGTCAAACTAAAAATGAAATAACAACCTCTATGTATTGTAAAGCCAAGGTTAATAAAGTAGGGAGAAAAGAAGGGTCCTAGGACAAAATTACCATAATGTATTCAGAACGACCTCTAACCTCTTTTACAAACT